GGCAGGGAGGGAGGAGAAAAATGAGGAACTGATACCAAGGGCTCAAGTAGAAAGGAAATGTTTTGAGAATGATGATGGCAACAAATGTACAAATGTGCCTGACACAATGGATGGATGTATGGATTGTGAGAAGAACTGTAAGAGTCCCCAATAAAATTATTTAAATAAATAATAATAAAAAAGACAGAAACACATGGGAATGTTTGGGGAAGAATAAAGAACCATTCTTGTAAAAAAAAAAGGATTTCAAAGATATCCCCAGGTTACCTTGCCAGAAAACAAAATTTCCAGACTCAGCATGACATGCAGAGATAGGCGGGTGATGGCTGACCTGGAAGAAACAATAGACAAGAACTGAAAGTTAACTCTCGGCTCTCATGAAATCCATCCTTTCTCCCTGTATTGAAATTCAACCCAATGAACGTGAACGAATGAACCCCAGGCGGTGCAGAGCGTTAATGCACTCAGCTGCCAGCGCAAAGATTGAAGGATCAAATTCATCCAGAGGCGTTTTGGAAGAAAAACCTGGGCCTCTACTTCCAAAAACGTCAGCCATTGTCAGAATCAACTTGCTGGCACGTGCTCTGGCTTGCAAAGAATTAAATAGAATTTCATAGAATAAGATAGAGAAAATGTTACAGGAATAAATGCTGTGGAGGAGCTAAAGATGACAAAGTTGTCCTGAGAAATACTCAAACAAGGATGTCCTCCAGAGGGCGCTCCTGGCACACTTGGCTCCCAATTTGCTTGTTGCAGCAGTAGGATGGCTATAGGGAGCCCCCTGTGGGCTAGGTGGGGAGGGATGGGGGGCAGAGAAGCATTTTAAAGCTTGTGAAAACATGTCTCGTTTTGGAAGTCGTGAAAATAAAACTAAGGGCTGCCCATTCCCAAACCACATAATTCAACTCTGGTTACCTACATCAAAATCCCCACTGGCTTGAGCTGAGAGTACCTGCAAATGTTTGTTCAGACATCCAGCATCCTTTAAACCACTGCTGCAGAGCAGCAGGGAAGCGCCATGCCTCTGGCTCAGCAGGTTAACAAAGCGCTTTTGAAAATTGCCTATCTTTTCAAATGGCCTATCAGAAAACCCACCCCACATCAATGTTTAAGGGCAAAGCTCCCATCTATAAAGGGGAAAAGAGCGATGTACACAATACTGAAGAATATTCATCAACAATGAACAAATACATGTACAGTCACATCTGGAAGGACAAAAACATCCGGAGTAAATACAGCAGAGTGTGTTCTAGAAAAGAGAAACCCCCTGTGACAGGGAAGGTAGCCCATCTCTCTGACTTGGGGCGAGGGGGCCACCACTTTTATTCGCTAATGAAGACGATAAAGAGGCAATGACGCCTCAGGTATGCAGGTCGGTCATCTCAGTAACCTTCCAGGCACGTGGGTGGCATGTGTGTGTTCTCTTAACTGAGCCCCAGTGACCGGAGGGACTCTTGCTTTGCTTTGCTTTTCCATCAAACCCGAAGCTACTCTGCAGAGGGGTCGGGGCGAAGCTTTGGCTGGCTTCCCGGCCCCTGAAATGTAGACATATTTAAAAATGGACTGTGGCAGGTTATATTCACACAGAAACAAAGAAATAAGGGGGTAAAACACTGGGCATCTCTCTAGGTGGGCCCAACGTAAATCAGCAAAGTGATCTACGGGTCTGAACACCATAGCCCTCTCCTGCAAGTTAAACCCCACAAGACAGGGACAGATGCACCCCTGTCCACATGGACTGTGTAAGCACCATGAGCGTGCAATTCTGCCCTCTGAAAACGACTGAGTTAGACGCATGAGTCAGGACTGAGCAGTCTGTGGCGAGCTGAAGAGATGCTTTCTGAATAAATAAACCCCAACATTCAACTACCAACCATTGTGTTTCTTTCGTTAAGGTTTACTAAGGTTCTGGCAATCATTTGCATGGAACCTATCGATTGTCAGGTGGTTACAGAGCTTTCCCGGGAAATGCAGATGGAGGCCCCTTGCTCTCTGACATCGCCTCACAGCAGACATTTCCGTGTGAAACATTCGTGGAGCAGAAGCTTCTGGAGCCTCACAGATCCGGGTCTTAATGCTGGTCCCTCATCTACTGGCTATATGACCTGGAGCGAGTTATTTTCTTCATTCCACTGAGCCTCAGGGATCGTCGGCTGTGATGGAGCGGGTTTCTGACCCATGGTGGCTTCATGAGTCCCGTGTCACCGGGTGACGGATAGAGGCCTAGACAGCTAAGGTTTCCACTGACTGACAGTCGCAGAGAGCCAGGCATCTCACCCTAGGCCCCTTAGGTTGGAAGTACAGCCTGTTCGGCGCACAGGAACACACAAGTCTCCCCTGACACACAAGTGGTAGCTCAGGTACCCTGGCTGGGAATTTAGCCCAAGGAGGGAGATGAGAATTCTACCAGGGAACCACCCATGTCCCCTAGCTCGACTGTCCAGTAGAGGGACTAGAGATGGCTTTGCAAATTAAACTGTGACATCCGCACGTGAGCAGCACTGTGTGGAGTGGGCAAAGGCTGAATTTTAATTCACTTTTTTTTTAGTCATATTTCTACTTAGTTCTCAGGGCAACCTGGTGTC